AAAGTCAAAGGATGGCCCAAAAGGCTAGAAGTCCCCGTAAAACAAATAGACCGAAGCTCTCATAACTGCATGGGAAGCTCACACTGATGAAAGCCATTCTGAAGCACCACCTCAAAGACAAGGCACAATCCAATCCGAGGTTATCACAGGGTCGTCTGAAACCCATAAAGCCGACGTTGCCTCACAACATATTTGAAGATCTTTTAGAACTGATTGATGAGACGTCCGCAGTAAAGTGTCAGTGACTTTTTAATGGCATTGTCAGCCTACTTATAGTGCGGCTGACCTTTTGTCAAATATTAAATGTAACGAATAGATGTGATGTGAAACTTCGGTCTAGGAGATGTTGCCACGTGGATCTGATCCAACGATCACCATGTCGGTTAGAACAGTATAAATAATCTTTCTTTGTATAGAAAGAGGGGAGACAGACATTTGAACTTTGGAAAGGAAAAGGGCATATTTATTCATCATATCTATCCTTCCACATATTCTATAACAAATACAACGTTTATTAGCAACTTGTGAAAATGGCAACCATTGATAGCGTGATTGTCATCAAATCCGACCGCCGGAGCCTAAACATTTGTGTCTCTCACCGGAAAGTGCTTCCCACGTTCATTCCAGTGAAGCTACTATCCCTATTCCGGTAGAAATGTGCCAGATCAACGCTTGACGTGGTGAGAGTGGGCCCGACATCTGTTGAAATCATTTTTTAAGGTCAACAAGCCACATGCTTATTCTGTTACTATTCACGACAAAATTTTCTCCTATTATTTTGTCTCTAGTTTTTGTCATTTAATTTTGGCATCAACAAGAACACAAGTGTTGATGTTACACATTAAAAATTTGACCTTGTGAACATAACTTTCTTAAGCATTTAGATAAAGAATATATAGGTAATGAGCACAAACAAATAATGATGTGTCTCATCGAGTATTGGAGAAGCCAAATGTTATAGACACATTTTGTTCGAATTAAATAAAAGATAAATATTAAGTTCGTCCGAAAGAATCTAAATCTTCCAAAGATCCACAAAGAGATTGATATATCAAAATATTGAACAATCGACATTTACTTAATCAATAATTTCGTGGTAGTGTTTTTATCGTGAATGAATAACAATTCCCATCTAATAAATAAACACAACTAACGTTTTTTATTCGTATAAAGCACAGAGTAATTTAAATATCAACCTACTCGAAATACGTAACAATTTAAACACCGTCTTATGTTACATAATATTATACAGAAAATTCCTTCTTATTTGCCCTTCAACAAAAGGAACTGCTTTGGAGAATAAAATCTGAACAGATTATAAGCAGACACTGATGAAATCACAACCATGAAAATAGATGCAAAATAGCCACATAATAAAGCACCACCAATTTCAATGCAAAACCTTGTGAATCTATTGCAAACCTTCATCCACTGAAAACTGCTTTCACCAGTTACTGCCAACATTGATGCTTGAGCCGCGGCTGAATTGGCTGCAAATACTATGTATGCTGCTGCCTGTGAAAGAATTGATAAGACATTTAAGCAAGTGCAAAAATAAGCTGATTATTTAAACTTAATTTTAAGGTTAGCCAAACATGCGCTCAATCCTAGGTACCATGCTCGGCCATCGAATTGGGTTGCTATGAAATTTGTTACTTCTATTGCTTTATCCTTTGTCGAGACGTCTTTTATAAACTTTATAGAAGAGATTTCTGAAAATGTTGTCTTAATCTAATTTTCTCTAGAAAAAGCTCTTCTATTTAAACAAAGTTTTCCATAAAATTATTCAAATTGTTCAAAAGTAATTTCTTAATTTCAAAATAAATTTTTTACTCTTCAAAAGTTCTGCCAAACGATCTTTAATTTGTATGGTTGAAGTTTTATGGTTGACACAAGATGGAGCATAGACGGATTGTGTGAATCATATAATAAGACCACCTATCATTTTAAATGTACAATATAGTTTGAAAAAAAATGTAATGTCACATGTCACGTGAGATTACCGTCATACGTGCCATAAAGTTGTGTTTTTTTACCCTTAGGTTCCCAGGAAGAAATCTAATAACTGCACGAATAGGTGCCAAACCTAATTCTTTTTGGCAATTGAGTCTTCTAACTTCCGAAATTGGTATATTAGTTTTTACGTTTTAGTGGATCGTTTTACAACCATGTCACCGCTAAAGCAACACGTCTACCTTACCTACTCCCTCGACCCTCACCATCAATCTTACCAGCTATACCCTATCCTCCGCTTCCACCTTCTTCCCCAGTCTACGTGCCTTCCCACCTCTTCACCTTTGTTTCCTCATGTTTATCGCACCCGTACTCGGGATGGTAGCTTGGCATTTATGGCTCATGGGTGAAGGAGGCAAAAACCGGGGGAGTTTTTCTTCTCTAATATTTTTTTTTATTTAATTGAAACCAAGGTGTAAAATCTTTTTTACAACAACAAAAAAATTATTTTTTTTTATCGGTGAAGTAGACATAAACCATTTACTTGGGGACTCAAGTGCTACAATCTTGAAAGGTTTGGGTCTCAAATCTTGTATTACCACAAATTTGCAAACCTATGCTACAATATGGCTAAAATTTTCCAATTTAGAATTGTAACTACTAAGTAATCTTTAATTTCTCTATAATTAGTTTAACATAAACATTAAAAAAAATAAAAATAGAGCGAATACACAATTACAATCAAACTTTATGCAAAGAAGCCAGGTAGTAGTTGTCCTTTTTTGCGTTAAGGCAAATCTGGACACAAATTAGTGGATATCATCGAATTATATAATGAGAAGTGTTACATGTACATAAATTTATACATAATGGTGTCTGTAATTACACGTGGCACTGGATCCAACCATTAAGTCAAATCTCATACTTTCACATCAACAACAGGATTTTGTCCACATCACA